TCTGTATTCAGCTGAGCACAAGCATCCCTCACCCCGATGTGCGGGGTCAGTAATGAATAAACATGGGCAAGACTGATGCAGGGAAGTGTATCTCACTTAGAATCATAGAATCACAGAATGGTTTGGGTTGCAAAAGACCTTAAGATCATCCAGATCCAAGCCCCTGCCATGGACAGGGACACCTCACACTAGACCATGGCACCTAAGGCTCTGTCCAACCTGGCCTTGAACACAGCCAGGGATGGAGCATTCACAACATCCTTGGGCAACCCATTCCAGTGCCTCACCACCCTCACAGTAAAGAACTTTTTCCTTATATCTAACCTGAACTTCCCCTGTTTCAGTTTGAACCCATCACCCCTTGTCCTATCACTACAGTCCCTAATGAAGAGTCCCTCTCCTGCATCCTTGTAGCCCCCTTCAGACACTGGAAACTGCTCTGAGGTCTCTCATACTTCTCAGAAAGCATTGCCCACGTTACAGGGATGCCTTCATTCCCAGCCTCTTCTTTGAGGGTGCTGGCAGATAAACCAGACATACCCACCCACAAAACAGAGACTGGTTTTCATTGTCTCTTGGAGACAGTGCTGTATCTGGGTGTTTAATTGCATTTGCCTACATTAAAAGCTGGTTGTCTTCAGTGCCTAATGTCAGAGAAACCCCACATCCTACACCCTCTGGTTAAGCAGGCAGAAAAATGCCTTGGGAGCTTGGATTATTTAAAGGTCAGGAAAAGAAGCAGTCAATTATTCCTGCAACCTATCAGTACTTGGCAAGCTGTTCGTAGCCAAGCATCACTGGATAAAGCTGTCAGCACTGCCTGCCAGTCCCAGCTCCTCACCTCTATGCATCTTTTGCTCCCATTCCCTCCCCAGTTAATCCAGGGTCAGTTGCATTCAGCAGACTCCATTCAGAGCTTCTTATGAGCGTTTATGTCCCATTTCCCAGGACGTCCATCTCGAAGCATGTAGCACATAGGTAATAAGCATGTAGTAACACAGGTATTTATGTTGGCTCTAGGAAGAGCCTGGACCAAGATTATTCACTGTTGGGTCTGCCTATCCCCTACTCACACATAAACAGCCAAGTCTGTCTCTGACTAGAGCTGACATCCACTGGGGATGAACTCTCCCAAACCCCCTTGCCACAGACACAGTCCTTGTTCTGAACAACACAGCTATCAATGGGAAAGAAACCATCGGAAAAAAGGGAATAGCCTAGTTTCACATGAAGCTTATAAAACCTGGGCTTAAGAGGCAGACAGTCTACATAGATCTGAAAAATAGTCAGTCAGGTTTGGGTTTGTTCTGTTTAAGCAGGACCCTGCAGCTAGGTAAGCAAATACTTTTGCAGTATATGGACCATGGTAGCTAAATGTCCTATGTGGCAGGACCATTTTTCCCCATGAATCCCTATTTCCAATTATTCTTCCTTCTCCTCACCTGCCTAGCAGCCTCATTTTAGGCGGTGATAGTCACCTAGATAGGATCAACGCAAAAAAGAGGGGCAATTTTACTATTAGATATCCACAAACACTTTGCTTTCCTAATAGCCAAGGCTATGAAATCACCAAATGTTCACTTGTGTTCCCCAACCAAGTTCAAGGGTGTTCAAGGAGAAACATGCATCAGCCTTTGAAGGAAAGGGGTTAAGTGGCAAAGGAGGAAGATTAAGCCATGATTTGCAGCCAGGGAAGCAGAAAACATTGCCCCAAAGGTCTCACCTGAACAGCTGACCCTCTGCTTGCTCCTGAACATAGAGATATATGCAGCATTGCCAGCTCCCGTGATTCATGGCATGCTGCTTTTTGCTGCTGCAGCTCTCATGAGAGACAAGCAGAGATGCCCGTAGAGCATTCAAGGCTGCATGGATGTATCAGGCAGTGAAATAGGGGGCAACGTGAAGGACACATCACTGTTAGGAGAGGGGGAAAGAATAGGAGGGTTGAGCTGCTGGTCCTCCTCTGCTTGCAACCTGGAACTGTTCAGTTTGGAGATGCAAAGAGCTGAAGGGGAGAAATCAGGAGAGACTTTCTGCTGAAGCATGGGGAGAAGGGATGAAACAGGAGAAGGACTTGGGGGTTTTGGTCGATGAGAAAATGAACATGAGCCAGCTTCAGTGTGTGCTTGCAGCCCAGAAAGCAACCGTATCCTGGGCTGCATCAAAAGGAGCATGACCAGCAGGGCAAAGGAGGCGATCCTGTCCCTGTATTCTGCTCTAGTGAGATGCCACTTGCAGCACTGTGTGCAGTTCTGGTGTCCTCAAGGTAAAAGGGACATGGAACTGTTGGAACAAGTCCAGAGGAGGCCACAAGGATGATCAGGGGCTGGAGCAGCTAATGTATGGAGCCAGGCTGAGAAAGTTGGGGCTGTTCAGCCTGGAGAAGAGAAGCTGCGTGGAGACCTCAGAGCAGCTTCCAGTGTTTAAAGGGGGCCTATAGGGACGCTGGGGAGGGACTCTTCATTAGCGACTATAGTGGTAGGACAAGGGGTGATGGGTTCAAACTGAAACAGGGGAAGTTCAGGTTGGAGATAAGGAAAAAGTTCTTTACTGTGAGGGTGCTGAGGCGCTGGCACAGGGTGCCCAGAGAAGCTGTGGCTGCCCCATCCCTGGCAGTGTTCAAGGCCAGGCTGGGTAGAGCCTTGGGTGACATGGTCTAGGGTGAGCTGCCCTGCCTGTGGCAGGGGCTTGGAACTGGATGATCTTAAGGTGCTTTCCAACCCAAACCGTTCTGTGATTCTATGATTCTAGGAGGGTAGAAGCAGAAAGTTGCAGAGATTCTGGAACAGGGAAGCACGGTTAACGTAAAAACAAGCTGAATTTTGATATCCAGACAAATATTTTTAATTCCCAGGTCAAAAATAATGATTGTAATTAGTGCGTTATACATCTATTTATGTGACTACTCAGCACAGAAAGAAACTACCCAGCTATGGGTTTTGGAGTGCTCTGAAGAGTCAAGGAACTGATTCTTAAATAAGAATAGGAGTGCAACACAACAACTGCTCTGTGTGACAGAATAGAAAGGCTTTCCCGTGTTAAGGATCTCCAGCAGTAACTAAGGTAGTTAATGCTACAAATAGCATTGTAATACATGTAAACATCTTCTGTGGTTACATCCATCCCCAGACTGACTCTTCACTCTTGCAGCCTCTCCAGTCTCCTAAATTTAGTTCCAGCTCTTGTGACTATTATTGCTATTACTATTTTTAATCCTCAGGTTTGCACAACAGAGTACCTGTGAATTAGGGCAGATCTGAGACACTGATGAAAGCAACGGATTGAGGAGGGAGACTGCAAACCAGCATGAGAGTTTCTATCGCACTGAGAAGGTCAGTCAAGTCCATCAGGCAAAGTACAGTGTCTAAAGTTAATATGAAGAAACAGGAATCAAACTGCCCCCTTTGTTCAGAGCTGAATCTCTGCAGGAACTGCAGTCACACACACAAAATCAGAGCCACATCCTAAGTTGATTTCCGCATGCAAGCAGCATGAAGGGAAGCAGCTTTAATAAATGGTGCTACCTTTGGAAAAGGCATTTTAATTCTCTAATTAGCATGTGTACAATGAAAACTAACTGTGCGAGTTCGTGTATACACGTAGCTAGAAGAGAGAGTTTAATGGACTGTAAACACTGCAAGTGAAACTGAATTTTCATTTCCTCCATGTTGTGCCGCGTGATGCAAGTTTCACAACTACAACACATTTTTCCACCTATAAAATATCTTATAGCTCCTTCCCTCTTCTTTTTTGTCTTGGGTTAATGGTCTTTGGCAAAATATAAGGGGGAGGGGGAGAAGAAAGCTACATAAGCTTTTCATCAGGGACTGCAGTGACAGGACAAGGGGTGATGGGTTAAAACTTAAACAGGGGAAGTTCAGGCTGGATATAAAGGAAGAAGTTCTTTACTGTAAGGGTGGTGAGGCACTGGAATGGGTTGTCCAGAGAAGCAGTGAATGCTCCATCCCTGGCAGTGTTCAAGGCCAGGTTGGACAGAGCCTTGGGTGACATGGTGTAGTGTGAGGTGTCCCTGCCCATGGCAGGGGGTTGGAACTAGAGGATCTTTAGGTCCCTTCCAACCCTAACTATTCTATAAGCCTCTGTCATGGCTTAACCCCAACTAAGCACCACGCAACTACTTGCTCACTCCTGCCCTGTAGCACAGGGGAGAGAATCAGAAAGGAAAACTGAGGAAACTCATGCACTGAGACAGTTTTACAAGCAAAGCAAAAGCCACGCACACAAGCAAAGCAAAGCAAAGCAAGGAATTCATTCACCACTCTCCATGGTCAGGCAGGGGTTCAGCCATCTCCAGGACAGGCTCCATCACATGCAACGGTGGCATGGGAAGACAGACGCCGCCACTCTGAACTCATCCCCTTTCCTTCTTCTTCCCCCAGCTTTATATGCTGAGCATGATGCCATGAAGTATGGGATATCCTTTGGGTCAGCTGGGGTCAGCTCCCAGCTCTTTGTGCACCCCCAGCCTACTCGCTGGAGGGGTGAGGAACAGAAAAGGCCTTGACTTTGTGCAAGCTCTGCTCAGTGATAGTGTAACATCCCTGTGTTATCAGCACTGTTTCCAGTAGAAATCACATTCAAATCACAGTCCGATACCAGCTACTACGAAGACAATTAACTTCATCCATACCAAAACTAGCACTGCATCCAACTCTGATTTCACATTAAAAACAAATAACCCCAACAACAACAAAGAACAATGAACAACAAAGGACAGCGGCACACACAGAGCCACAGAAAACCCTCTTTCACTGTGGCCCATCACTTCCTGTTACCTACCTACCATTCTCTGTCATCTGAAACCAGCACAAGCAAAGCTTGATATGATCAATGCATATCCTACCGTCATTAATCATTTATAGAAAGGACAAAAAAGGGTCCAGTTATGAAACAAGGCAGAAGATGGGGTGAGAATAGATGAGGAAAGAGTGAAAAGGCTGGGACAAAGAGAGATCTGCACTGATTCAAAAGAGACTCACAGTCCATCCTGCAGCTCTTGAGTGTCGTTTGAGGTCCCCAGAGATCGAAGGCTTCTTTCCAGAGAGGTCACTGTCAACAGCAGAGAAAGAGAAGATAAAGAAGAAGCACACTTTGGCAGGGAAAATAGTAACAGATTTTTGTTCAACTGTTTGGCATTTAATTCTAGTATTTAAACAGTACTACAAAGTGGTGTTTGGACAAGTAATTCATGAGGCAAAGGGGACAACATCCAGCAATGGCTGGTACCCCAAACCAAACAAATTGGGTTCCTTGGGTGCATAAACAGTGAATCCATGCAACACACACCATGAGATGATGGGATATGACTCCTTGTAACAGCAAGAAACCCCTCATTCCCTCCATAATGGCCTTAAACCAGAAGAGGGTAGATTGAGACTAGATACATGGAAGAAGCTCTTCCTTGTGAGGGTGCTAGGTGTTGGCACAGGGTGCCCAGAGAAGCTGTGGCTGCCCCATCCCTGGCAGTGTTCAAGGCCAGGTTGGACACAGGGACTTGGAGCAAGCTGCTCTAGTGGAAGGTGTCCCGTGCTCGTTGCAGCAGGGGTTGGAGCTGGATGAGCTTTACGGTCCAACCCAAACCAGCCTGATTCTAACAACAGATTTTGGTGTCTGGTTTGGTGATTCAGTACGATAAAGCCTCAAGGAACTGTCTATAACCGAGATAGTAATTATTATCCCTTGCTGGATGGATAATGTTTTAAAGAATAAATTGGAAGTTTTCACTAATAACCATTTATTTCTCTAGAACAGCATTCATCCTGCAGAGCTCTCTCAGACATTGTAATTCACCCTCTTCCTCCCTCTGCAATGCTAATGAACCAATCCCTTGCGCAATCTATACACTGTCTGTTTCAAAGGGAAAACTTTGCATCATCTAAAAATACTCCTGGGCACACCAGAACAAAGCAGAGTGTGGTCCTTGGAGAAGGGAGAGCAAATCAATGTAGAAAAAGCACTTACATAGACGATGAAGCCCTAGGAAGATGTTAATGTCATGTGTGCAACTCTGGAGGGCAAAACAGCAGCTACAGCATCCAGGCACCTTTCCAACCTGAGATGCAAAGGCAGGATAATTCAAAGTGAAAGCTATTCTTCCTCCTAATGAAGATGATGTTGATGGAAGACATGGAACTGTTGGAGCAAGTCCAGAGAAGGCTACGAGGATGATCAGGGGCTGGAGCAGCTCCCGTATGGAGACAGGCTGAGAAAGTTGGGGCTGTTCAGCCTGAAGAAGAGAAGCTGCGTGAAGACCTCAGAGCAGCTTCCAGTGTCTGAAGGGGGCCTACAGGGATGCTGGGGAGGGACTCTTCATTAGGGGCTGTAGCAACAGGACAAGGGGTAACGAGTTCAAACTGAAACAGGGGAAGTTCAGGTTGGATAGAAGGAGGAAATTCTTTCCTGTTAGTGTGGTGAGGCACTGGAATAGGTTGCCCAAGGAGGTTGTGAATGCTCCATCCCTGGCAGTGTTCAAGGCCAGGTTGGACAGAGCCTTGGGTGACATGATCTAGTGTGAGGTGTCCCTGCCCATGGCAGGGGGTTGGAACTGGATGATCTTAAGGTCCTTTCCAACCCTAACTATTCTATGATTCTGTAAGACAGATCTTAGACAGTTCCCTGCAAAACCATTACAGAACTTTGCTACTGCCTCCGTTGGAGAAGACTGGAGAAGGAAGCAGTTTTCCTATTGCACAAATCTGTTCAAGACTGCACACCATTTTACATCTAGGCAAATCGAAGAGCTATTGCATTTGCTAAATAATTTGGAAAGCAAAGATAAAGGCAAAAGAATCTGAGACAGGAATGCAAAGTGCATGGCAGGAATGCAAGAATGCACTTGTAAGTCAGGTGAGACAATGACTCCAGTTTAAGACCCTATCCTAAAACTTAACTGAATAATCTAATCCAAGCATAATATTTACACACTTACATAAAGGTCAGCTCCCTGAAAAGGACAAGGTATGCATTCTGCAACAGGATGAGGCACATTCAGAAGAGATCACTGCCGTTGAGTTGCAGTGATTTACATAAACTAAGATTTTGGCACCAGCTGTCTATGCCATTGCAATCCTCAAAATCACTAGGGGCTAAGACACCTCTTATGGATGGCAATGGAGACTTAATCACACCTGGGGGCTGCTGAAGAATCCTCAGCTCAGCCTCTCACATCAAGGTAATAGCACTGTACATGGCACCAACCTGTCACAGAGAGTCATTAAAGAGCAAGGAACAGGAATTAGAGAGGGAACAGACCCATTAGAGCACTCATGTTCTCCATCTGGCCAGAACAGGTTTGATACCTTTGGTATATCTTCCACTGATCCGCCTTTCAGACAAGAGGCACCAAACCAACCCCTTTACGACTGTGATCTATTTTACTTATTTATGAGGCATTCACTGAGCGGCAGCTTAGAGCTGTGCACTGAAAGAGATGCAAAACCTTCATTAAAATAAGCAGAAAAAAGCCATCAATGAGACACATTCAAGCAGTATTTGAGCTTCTTTGTGTGTGCTTGGGGTTCTTTTTCTCCCTGAAAGGAAAAAGCAATTGGACCAAAAAAACCCAACTAATTTAAGACTTGTGTAAGTTAAAGCACTATCCCTGTGCTCAACAGGAACAGCTCCCAAAGAATCAGACAAAGAAAGAAGAGGCAAAGGATAAGAAAGATCTCCCTCTACCCTGGGCACTTTCGTATGAGATGGCATAGATACAAAGCCTGTAAGTTCACCACCTGGCAGGAGAGTGATCCACTAGCACATGAACAGTACCAACCGTTCTGGCTATGATTTTTATGCAACACATGAGGAAGATTTCCATTTTCATAGCAGGAAAAGGGAGCAGGAGGTGTTCATACGTGAGATCAGACACACAGAGCTATAAAGATCCCCCTGGGTCAGGAGGCAAGTCCTGGACTGCACAAGAATTTAAATCACCCCAAAGGCTCAGACTTCTGCAGAAAGAGTAAGGAGAGCAAAGAGGGACAAAGCATGTGGTGTTTATTACTACTGTAGTGTTACTCAATAAAAAACCAAGAGTGTTTTAAAATCCCAGCACAAAGTTGACTTCTTGTTTCATTAAAAACAGTCATTTCCCAAAGACAGAAAAAAAGTATAGCTGAGACTGTCCGTAACTTGGCATTTTGGGACTCTATCTAACAGAAGCCATGGCAGAGGGTTTGGAATTAGCTGATCTTAAGGTCCTTTCAAACCCTAATTATTCTATGGGGAGCTTGTGACATCTTTAGCATCCCAAGTGGGAGAAGAGCATTTCATGTGCACAGTTTGGCCTCCAAACAGAATGGGGAATGTAGAAAACCCCAAAGAGGCTTGGGCAAGGCAGGAAAAGAAGGAGCTGTGACTGGACTAATGCAACCCTGTGGGATGCTCAACACGCCATGCCCAGCGCAAGAGGAGGACAAACCATCATCTGGCGAGCATCTGCAACGAAGCCGCTCAGCCACGTGTGTGGTGATACTCAAACAACAGCACTGGCTTTTCCTACATGCTCTGAGAAAGAACTTGCTGAGTTTCCTGATGAGACCATATGGTACAGCTGTAGAGGACAGAAAGGATCACGGGCATCCTTCCCCATTTTAGAACCCTATGAAGTTCTTTACCTTATGTGGATTAGCTCTGCCCATCAGCAGTACACTCAGCATCCCTCTGCTGAAAGGCTGGACCCACTTTTGGGGTAAAAGCTATGAAGAAGCCACAAAGAAACTGAATGAATCTGACTTTAGCAGATAAAAAATAATATGGGTGGTGAACTGAGCAACAACAGTAGAGTATCTTATGGGCATTTCTTTAATGTAAAAGCACTTTTAAAAGCATTATACATTCATAGATTCATAGATTTTAAAGGCCAGAGAGAGCAATTCTGATTATCCCATCAGATTTCCTACCATAAAATCTGGTCCCATCACTCCTACGTCAAGACTGTCGCTGGGCTAAAGTGTATCTTATACAAAGACATTCAAATCTTGATTTAAAGGTTGAAAGCCATGCCAAATCCATCACATTCCCGCAATAAGGAGACCTAATGGCTAGTTATCCTCATACAGAAGGATTGAATTTGTCTAGCTTTGACTCCTATCTCCTGATCTCGTTATGTGTGAGAATGTAAGATTAATGAGCCCTATGCTATCTATTTGATGCCTTTCTTCCCAGAGAGGTACTTACATACCATGATCAAGTCCTCTTAGATGTCTGAAACAGAAGTTCAGATGGCATGCATTTTAAAGTCTCATTTTCAGACTTCAAAGAGTTGTCACAGCTCTTTTCTGTACCCTCTCCAATTTTGCAAGCTAGTTTTAAGTACAGACCTTGTCATTACCCGCTTCACAGAGCACTCGATGCAGGCAACTCTTAACAGAAAGCACTTCATCGCATACTCTATAACATCTCGAGAGGAGAAACAAAGACTCCCCAGAATTGCTTAAATAGTAATTGAGTGGATTAATGGAATTCTAATCAGGAATAAAAATAGAAATCGATCGAGGTATTTCAAGAGGATGCACCAAGGTTTCCCCAGGATAAACTCCACTACAGCAGGAGTTGTGATTCCAGCGCAGAGATGCATCAAGTCATCCCTAACCTGGCTAGTTTGGATATCAATAGCACACATAGACTTGCAAGCAGTTTGCAAAACTTCACACTGAGCCTTTGGTTTTGTAGCAGAAGTGCGACGACCATTCACCACTACCATTTTCAAAGTAAAACTATTAGTGATGGAGCAACCAGCTACCTGCTAATAGAGGTATTTCAGTGTGTTATAACAGGTTACACAAGTAGTAGTGATCACACTGGGGAATTCAACCTGCCACAGTGACCATGAGCCCAGGTCACAGCACCAGAGTTTTCTTAGAGACATGGACATACTGGAGACAGCCCAGGAAAGAGACACAAAGATGATGAAGGGTCTGGAGCATCTCTATGAGGAAAGGTTGAAAGGACCAGGACTGCTCAGCCTGGTAAAGAGAAGGCTGAATGGGGGTTCTTATCACTGAATCATAGAGTGGTTTGGGTTGGAAAGGACCTTAAGATCATCCAGTTCCAACCAATAACGACAGAAATAAGGAGGCACTAAGATCCTTTCTTTACACCTTAGCCAGGCCTCTCTGTCACCCAGTCCCCATAGACACCAAGCAGAACAGACAGGGAAACTGTCAAGATAATGCAGAAGCAATTTCAAGGTTTACCATAAAATAAGCACCCGTTAATTTTAGATCCTTGTCTACCAATTGTGTATTTTAGAACTGGGACAGAATGCCATTAACTATCATTCAGCAATGTTAGTTTATATCCATCAACAAAATACATTCAACCCAACAAAATTGATGAGCCAAAGCGTATCTCCGAAGGAGGGAAGCACTCTATAGCTCTATGGTCCAGAGAGACATGAGCAGGAATAGCATCTCTGCTCCATCTACAGAGTGAAGAATAACAGAAGAGCTTTGGTGTTGATGTTTTCATAAGGGAGATAGATGCTTTGCAAGCTCATATGACAGGCTCTGAACGCTGTAGTGCTGCAACACATTAGGAAACGAGTCTGGCTGGTTCCACCTTTCTGCATTCTAACTCCCTGTTGTAACAGATGACACAATTAAAAATAGAAAAGGATGTGGTCTCAGCACGGATTCAAATAGATCTGTGCCTGTTTAATGGAACATATGGTGGAATATTTTTACATCTTATAAAAAATGGGCTATTGGACATGTGCTGGTGCTCGTGAGATGCAGCAGCAGCGACACTGCATTAATATTTGCTCCCTGACAACAGGAGTTGCCATACAGTGTGTACATACACACGAGCCATCAGCAGGACAGCACCCAATTGACTAGGAAACCTTTCATTATACGCACCATTGGAGTTGATTCGGAAGACGTTGGCTGAAGTCTCTTGAAAAAGTTCCTGTAGCTCGCTGGGATCAATCTGGGTGGCTGTGAAGACAAAAAGGGAGATGTGTTAATACTGGATAACACTGTTCACTTTGAAAAGGGCTCCCCTCCTTCTGATCCTTTGGAGGGGGATGCAGGCTCCTGCTCACTGCAGAAGTTTAGCCTTAGTAGGTGGATGCTGCCTTACACAGCATCTCATCATGCAACTTGCACTGGAGAGGCAAATACCTACTCCAGGACCATTGGGATAGCAGAGCTGCTGCTGTACCTCAGCAGATATGGCCCATATGGACTGAGACACCATTTGTAGAAATCACTAGCCATTGGAACAGATATTATTTCTGCTGATAAATCAAACTGGGAGTATCATAGCCATGAATGAACAAGAAACCACAAACACAGCAGCACGACTGACCATTCCATCCAGAGCAAAAAGGCACACAAGTAGGTTCTGCCTTCAAAATAATGGAAGGAAGCAGTGACCTGAGTGCAACTGGTCCATGGGCTCAAAGGTTCTGCGCCCTCCATGCATTCATATTCTAGCCCCCCATATTCCTTCTCCCTATTTCTTCCTGATAGCCCAACTGCAAGGGTCAACGAGCCAGTGCCAAGAACTGTTATTGCCACTGCTCAGAAGACTTCTCTGTTACATTCACAAGGTCTTCCTTTGGCCAAGGTGCCAAAATGTGTCCTAGAAGGACAGCACTGAAATGAGAATTTGTATGGTTTGGGGTTTAAGGTTTGGGGGGTGTAGGGTTGCTTTGTTAGTTTCCCTTCACAACTTTAACCCCCTTGAAACTCTCCTGAGCTCTTCCACACCTCCATCATCCCCAAAGAAGGAGCAACCTGATGTTGGACTGGGCTGTATTACAGAGAACTGATACATCACTTCAGCTTTAAACAGACTGGGCTGTATTACAGAGAAAGGATACATCACCTCAGCTTTAAGCAGACATGTTTTGATAGGCAAGTCACCAGAAGTACTCTCTGACACAGATCTCTTTGGCACCAGCTTAATGGCAGCAGCTTTAGAGGAGGTTTTCCCATGGTTTAGCCCTATTCTGCCTCCCATCTGGATCAGCATTTACAGGTTTCCCAGAATTTGCCCTGTTTGAAACTTTGTTCAAGTCCAAAAGCACCACAGGGCTTGTCCACCCAACACACTACAATGCATTCAAGCAGCCGCTGCAATTAGCAAGCCGCTCCTCTGAGCTGAAGCATTATAGGAACTTGAAGAGAAGCTGTGATTCATATATTCAAGTCACTGTATGACTTAACTAGGCTGTAACTGTGACATATTAGAATCACAGAATCATAGAATAGTTAGGATTGGAAAGGACCTTAAGATCATCCAGTTCCAACCCCCTGCCATGGGCAGGGACATCTCACACTAAACCATGTCACCCAAGGCTCTGTCCAACCTGGCCTTGAACACTGACAGGGATGGAGCATTCCCAACTTCCCTGGGCAACCTATGCCAGTGCCTCACCACGCTCACACTAAAGAACTTCTTCCTTATATCCAATCTAAACTTCCCCTGTTTCAGTTTGAACCCATCACCCCTTGTTCATCACTACAGTCCCTAATGAAGAGTCCCTCCCCAGCATCCCTATACGCCCCCTTCAGACACTGGAAGGCTGCTACGAGGTCTCCACGCAGCCTTCTCTTCTCCAGGCTGAACAGTCCCAACTTTCTCAGCCTGTCTCCATACAGGAGGTGCTCCAGTCCCCTGAGCATCCTTGTGGCCTCCTCTGGACTTGTTCCAACAGTTCCATGTCCTTCTGCATCCCTTCACCAAATTTCCCTGGTTAAGTGTGTAAGTATATATTGCACTTGGGTAATCACAATCCAAGAGTGCAGCACAGGCTGGGATCTACTTGGCTGGGGAAAAGCTCTATGGAAAGGGACCTTGGCATCCTGGTGGACAACAGGCTCAATATGAGGGAAGCGTGCTGGTGCAACAAAGAGCCAGTATGATGCTGGGGAACATCAACAAGGGCATCATCATAGACATTAAGATGTCATTTACTCTACTTAACACTTGTCAGGCCACACCCTGAATTCCGTGCTCAGTTTTGGTCCTCAGGTATGCACAGGCTGGAGAGGGCTCAGAGAATGGCCACAAAGATGATCCAAGGACTGGGAAGCCATGTGAGGAAAGGCTGAGAGAGCCGGGCCAGTTCAGCCTGGAGAAGAGGTCAAAGGAGAACTTACTTATCCCCATGTCCCAGTATTTAAAGGGTGGCTACAAAGACAACCGAGACTTCCTTTTTTCATGGAAAAGATGAGGGCTGATGGGCACAAGTTTCTCCTGGGGCAATTCCAGGTGGACACTAGATAAGATTTTTCCCAATGAGAACAATCAGCCATTGGAATAATCTCCCAAGGGAAGTGGTGGATTCTCCAGTGTTGGATACTGTTAAGATTCATCTGGATGTGGTGCTGGAACATCTAGTCCAGGTCATGCTTTGCCTAGAAAGGTTGGGCCAGATGATCCTTAAAGTCCCTTCCAACCTGCCACTGTATGATTCTATGATTCTGTGAAGCTGTTAAAACACCAAGAAGAGATGGAGCACAGCAAAACCCATGAATACTGAACAAAGAAAGAAGCCCACTAGATGCACTGCTCAGATTAGTCCTGAGGATGCTTGAGGACAAGCCCCACATCTCAGCAGCACCATCAGGGATTTTCCACTGCTTCTCACACATCTCACCCACAGCAGCACTCACATGAGACAATCCAGCCCTGTAACAGCCGTAAATAAAGTCTTGGATCAGTCTGTCAGGTTGACACAAATCCAGGGCATTAAATGGTGTTTAATCCAAATGCACAGGGGATCATTGCTAGAGATTTTCCCACTCTTCTCTTCCCATAGTTCCTCTTAAATCAGGCATCCCAGACACTCCCTTCCTTTGCTTTATATATGAGGCTATATATATAACACAAGAAATTAGCTTGGGCTTACTTGTCCCCCAGGAATTTCACTTGTTACTAACAAGATCCAGCTTTCATTAAATCACTGACAAAAGAGCAGCACAGGGTAAGATTTTCAGAGCTTTACAGAGTGTGCTAACTCCAGTTTTAGAATCACAGAATGGTTTGGATTGGAAAGGACCTTAAGATCATCCAGTTCCAACCCCCTGCCATGGCAGGGACACCTCACACTAGACCATGTCACCCAAGGCTCTGTCCAACCTGGCCTTGAACACTGCCAGGGATGGAGCATTCACAGCTTCCCTGGGCAACCCAATCCAGTGCCTCAGCACCCTCACAGTAAAGAACTTCTTCCTTATATGTAACCTGAACTTCCCCTGTTTTAGTTTGAACGCATCACCCCTTGTCGTACCATTTCAGTCCCTGATGAAGACGTCCTATCATTACAGTCCCTCCCCAGCATTCTTGTAGCCCCCTTTGAAGGCTTGAAATCTCAACCCATAAATACCTAACGGAAAACTCTGTATCACCGCTACACCTCAAACAAGTATAAATTACATGAGAAACCAAAGGCAGATGCAGGGTTTGTGCAGAACTTTCAAACAGTTTGAAAATGCAATGCTTGGAGAACGGTTTGTATGAAAAGGCTGCATTGAACTGGGCCAGGCCTGCAGCTTCCTGCCCCTGGACTTTAATATCATGTTACAGCCTGGTTTCATTTTGGTTTTGCTTTAGGAAAGCAAAGCAAAGAGTTACAAGGAGTTTTAACTGCTCCAATTTCAAGCTTCAACACATCCAGCAGTGCTGCTGTAACTATTCATGGAGCATTCAACAGTTCAAGCAGACAAGCAAAACAATTTAAAAGAAGCATCAGAAAGCAAAGCAAAACTGCATCTGTAGTGCCAAGCGAAGTAAAAACACACAGAGACTGCACAGGGAAGTGAATGTGAACTACATCTGTGTCTAATAAAACATTAAACATCTTCAACTACATCAAGTGATGCTGAAATACCACGACTCCCACGAAGGAGCATGAGGTTGCTGATACCCAGCAAACACTTTGAATGCCCCAACACTAATAGAGTTCAGGGCTACAGCTGGGGAAAGATGACTGTCACACTGTGGGTCCTGAGGGCTGCGAAGGTTTTGCAGCAGGTATATTACAGAATCCTATATGCAATTTTTTCTCCTTTCCTTCCTTAACTGGACATTTCCAACAGCTTCCATTTATTTCCCTCATCTCCAGAACCCCCTTGGCAGGAGACAGGACAACCCAACTGCTATCAGCACACCCTTGAAGCGATGATGTGTTTTATTTACTACAGTTGCTAGAACAGCAGCAGCTAACACTGGCATTTCTGATATTGTTTTTACTAATTCCTCTTTCTTTTGCCTGAAAAACTACACAGTTATGTGCAACAAATGGAAAGCATAAGCTTATAAGTACATGATTTACTAAAGCAAAGTGTGTTCACACATGCTCTGGTCAACTACAGTGGGAGAGCTTAGCTGCAAACGTGGTCTTAAGGAACTATGAGACTTGAGTGTGGTGAGTTGACACTGCCAAGTCCACCACTAAACCATATCCCCAAGTGCCACATCTTAAAAGTCCTTTCAATGTCTCCAGGGACGGTGATTCCACCACTTCCCTGGCAGCCTGTTCCAATGCTTGACAACTCTTCTGCTGAAGGTTTTCCTCATATGCAATCTAAACCTCCCCTGGCACAACTTGAGGCCATCTCCTATTATCCTATTACTTCTTACTTGGGAGAAGAGATTGACATACACCTTGTCCAACCTCCTTTCAGTTATCTGTAGAGAGTGGTTGATAAACATACAAGCCTTACACATGATTTTTGCAACCATTATTCCAGTGTTTTCCATGCTTCAGTGCAATTCTATCTCTAATTCCTGCCTACGGGAGACACTCAGGATGAGGCCTGGCCAGTGCACTGATGTGGTGTCAGTGCCTGGAGCAAAATATAGCCTATGAACTCCTAGTCCACTGCCCTCCATCCTGCTCAGGTTGGAGAAGACCCTTCTGATGCATGTGGGCAGCCCTGGGGCTCTCAAGGCGCTGTGATAGGCATTAGCTCCAACCACCACC